ACCGGTTATCCAAATGCATCAATTCTCCCTTCATTACATTTAAAAGCTGCCCCTTCTTTCCATTTCTTCTATTTCTTTCCTAGTTGGGAAACTCATTAACTCTTATTTAGATAATGGCAATGGAGTCCTAGCCAATATATTTCTGTTTTAAGCCTACTTTCTTCTAGTCTATTTTACTCAGTCTTGCAAGGTTAATCTTCCTGAACTGCCTTGCTGATTAATCACTACTTTTATGGTTTTTGAAGTATAAATGTATATTTATCATATTAATAGTATCAGTATGGAATAACTGACATTATATCGATGATGAGAAAGCTGCTATTTTTATACATAAAACAATTATTAACTTGAAAATAGATAAAAATAGTGAAATACAGTTGACCCTTGAATCCTTTGAATAACATGGGTGTTGGGTGTGCCGACTCCCACATGGTCAATTACCCATATGTAACTTTTATCTCCCCCCAAAATTGACTACTAGTAGCCTACTGTTGACCAGAAGCCTTATCAATGACATAAACAGTCAATTAACATATATTTTGTACATTACATGTATTATATACATATTATATGCTGTATTCTTACAATAAAGCAAGCTAAAGTAAAATGTTATTATGAAAATTATAAGGAAGGAAAATATATTTACTATTCATTAAGTAGAATTGGATAATGATAAAGGTCTTCATCCTCATTGTCTTCATGTTGAGTAGGTTGAAAAGGAGGAGGAAGAGTAGGGGTTGGTCTTGCTGTCTCAAGTATTTCATGACAGTAAATGATAAAATAGACTAGTAGCTACATATATATTTATATATTTATGCATTCATGACATACCTAACTTTTTCTATTTCTATGTTGTTTTTTTTTTTTCTTTTTGAAACATGGTCTCATTCTGCCACCCACACTAGAGTACAGTGTTTGCAATCAAGGCTCACAGCAGCCTCGGCCTCAACCTTCCAGGCTCACGTGATCCTCCCACTCCTGAGTAGCTGGAACTTCAGGAGTGCCACCACAATTTACTAATTTTTACTTTTTTTTTTTTTTTTTTTGTAGCTACGGGGTACCACTATGTTGCTCAGGCTGGTCTCAAACTCCTAGGCTCAAATGATCCCTCCACTTTAGCCTCCTGAAGTGCTGGGATGATAAGTGTGAACCACCATGCCTGACCCTAACTTTAAATTTTTAAAAAAATATTTCTATACTATTCAGTTTGTCTGCAAGTTTTTTCAAATTGTAGCAAATCTTCAAAAAATGTTTCCTTTTTTGTTGTTGTTGTTGTTGTACTTTAGGTTCTGGGTACACATGAAGATCATGCAGGGTTGTTGCACAGGTACTTACATGGCAAGGTGGTTTGCTGCCTCCATCCCCTATCACCTGTATCTGGCATTTCTCCCCATGTTATCCCTCCCCAACTTCCTTACCCCTCACTGTTCCTCCTTTAGCCCTCCCCAACAGACCCCAATGTGTGATGCTCCCCTCCTTGTGTCCTTGTATTCTTAGTGTTCAACACCCACCTATGAGTGAGAACATATGGTGTTTGATTTTCTGTTCTTGGGTCAGTTTGCTGAGAATTATGGTTTCCAGATTCATCCATGTCCCTACAAAGGACACAAACTCATCGTTTTTTAGGGCTGCATGGTATTCCATGGTGTTTTGTGCAACATTTTCCTTGTCTAGTCTATTGTTGATGGGCATTTGGGTTGGTTCCAAGTCTTTGCTATTGTAAACAGTGCCTCAGTGAACATACATGTGCATGTGTCTTTATAATAAATTGATTTATAATCCTTTGGGTATATACCCAGTAATGGGGTTGCTGGGTCAAATAGAATTTCTATTTATAGATCCTTGAGTAATCGCCACACTGTCTCCCACAATGGTTGAACTAATTTGCACTCCCACCAACAGTGGAAAAGTGTTCCTATTTCTCCACATCCTCTCCACCATCTGTTGTCTCTGGATTTTTTAATCATCACCATTCTAATTGGCATGAGATGGCATCTCAATGTGGTTTTGATTTGCATTTCTCTAATGACCAGTGATGATGAGCATTTTTTCATATGTTTATTGGTCTCATATATGTCTTCTTTTGAAAAGTGTCTGTTCATATCCTTTGCCCACTTTTGAATGGTTTTATTTTTTCTTGTAAATCTGTTTTAGTTCTTGTAAATTCTGGGTATTAGCCCTTTGTCAGATGGGTAGATTGCAAAAACTTTTTCCCATTCTGTTGGTTGCTGGTTCACTCTAATGATTGATTCCTTTGCCCTAACTTTTGTTTTCTCAAAGTTTTAACATTAAAAAATTAGAACAAAGGTCAGGTGCAGTGGCTCATGTCTGTAATCCCAACACTTATGGAGGCCAAGGTGGGTGGTTCACTTGAACTCAGGAGTTCAAGACCAGCCTGTGTAACACGGTGAAACCCCTTCTCTATGAAAAATACAAAAATTAGCCAAGTGTGGTGATGTACGCCTGTAGTCCCAGATACTCAGGAGGCTGAGGCAGGAAGATTGTTGGAGCCTGGGAGTTTGAGGCTGTGATGAGCTGTGATGATACCACTGCACTCCAGACTAGGTGACAGAGAGAGACTCTGTCTCAAATAAACAAATTAATTAAGAACAACAGAGGAAGACTAATAAATTCAAATACATTAAATAGGTAGAAAATGTTCATTTTCTTATTCCCTAGTTTGGTATTTGTTGAGATATACTAGATACTAGACAGATGGGAGGAATAAAGACTGCCTCCATAAAGCTCATCATCTAGTGGAGCATAACAGCTAGCAAGCCTCATTGGGCAGGGCGTGGTGGCTCGCGCCTGTAATACCAGCACTTTGAGAGGCCAAGGCGGGCAATCACAAGGTCAGGAGTTCGAGACCAGCCTGACCAACTGGTGAAACCCTGTCTCGACCAAAAATACAAAAATTAGCTGGGTGTGGTGGCACATGGCTGTAATCCCAGCTACTCGGGCGACTGAGGTAGGAGAATCACTTGAACCAGGAGGCAGAGGTTGCAGTGAGCTGAGATCATGCCATTGCACTCCAGCCTGGCCTACAGAGGGAGACTCTGTCTCAAATAAAAAGCATTCACTGGTAATCCATCTGATAAGTGACCAGCATATAAGAGAAATATTGAGGTATTCATTAGAAAATAAAATCAAGGGAATCTGAACAAATCATCATTATATTGAATGTAAAAAATATGTTCAGGTCAGGTGCAATGGCTCATGCCTGTAATCCCAGCACTTTGGGAGGCTGGGGTGGGTGGATTACTTGAGGTCAGGCTGGCCAACATGATGAAACCCCGTCTCTACTAAAAATACAAAAAAAAAAAAAAAAAAAAAAAACTTAGCCAGGCACAGTGGTGCATGCCTGTATTCCCAGCTACCTGGGAGGCTGAGGCATGAGAATCGCTTGAACCTGGGCAGCAGAGGTTGCAGTGAGTCGAGATTGCACCACTGCACTCCAGCCTGGGCAACAGAGCAAGACTCCATCTCAAAAATAAATTAATTAATTAAAAATCCCAGAAACTTATATACAGTTCACTTGCTATCCTCTAAAACATTTAAAAAGCTTTATAGCATTACTCAGTTTTCATACTACAATTTGGAAAAACAAAGCATCAGATATTCATTTCTCCTAACTGAGAAAAAGGGTACTTGAAATAAAAACTCCAAAAATGATCATTTGAATGATGTTATGACTATGCAAACCAGAGGAGCTTGGCTAAAAATGAAAAATGCAAAGTCTGTTTTGTTTCTTGTTCTTTAATTCAAACTCTATTATGAGTGCAAGGATATGAGGAAGGCATCGAGTGTGCCTTTCCCACGGAACCTAATTCTGCTAGAGCTTCTCTATTGCATCCTGTCTCTAGAGAAGGTTTTGGCTTAATTGGATATTTCTTTCAGTGACAATTTTTTTAAAAATATGCTCATATAGAACTTAATTTTCCTGACAAGGTTTAAACCATTCATTGTGGATACATGGAAGGTATGTAGAAATTCTTTCATTGTGCACGCATGAGACTGCACTCCCTAAGATAATCTATATTTGAACATTTTACATTTCTGTAAGGTAGATTTTAAATATTAGAAAAATGAGACTCAGAGAGGTGAAATGACTTGTCCACACAACCTTGTTCATAGGAGGCTGAGTCAAAACTAGTTTCTAGATTCCTAATTCCCTGCATAGTATGCTTTTATATTATAGTACCATATAAGGTAGTAAATACCATTTATTCATTCCATTTAAACAAACATTTACTAGGTGTCTACCCAAAGCCATGCTCAGACCCAGGGGTTAGAGGAATGAACAAATAAACAAGAGTCCCTTTCCTTCTGGACTACATTTGAGTGGGGAAAACAGAAAATAAACAAGAAAGGCAAGCAAGTGTAAGTCAGATGGTGGTAATTACTATGAAGAAAAGTAAAGTAAAGACAAGGCATTAGACAATAATCAGGAAACCCTCATTGAGAAAGTGGCATTTCAACTAAAATTTGAAGGAGATGAGAGGCTGGATGTGCGTATCCATGAGGAGAGTATTCTGGGAAGGGAAATAAGTGCAAAAGCCCAAACATGACAGTGTGTCTAGCATGTTCATGGAAAAGCAAGAAAAGCAGTCTGGCTGGCAGAATGAGCAAGGAGGAAAACACTAGGAGGTGAGGCCAGATGGTGCAGGCCCTACCTGGTTTTACCCTAAGTGAGGTTTTGAGCAGAAGTGCAGCAGGGTCTCATTGGCTGCTATTTGAGAATAGTCTAGAAGTACAATGGTGAAAGCACTGAGACTGGTTAGGAGTTTCTAAGGATGATTAAAATGAAATATAGGAGGACAGACTGCCAGAGGAGAAGAGGCTGATTAATGGTTAAATCCTGGATAGATTCTGAAGGTTGAATCAGCAAGATTTCTTGATGGTTTGGATATGGGTGTGAGAAAAGAGGACAGGGTCAAGGATAACTCCAAAGTGTCTTTTTTTTTAAAACCTTTATATATATTTATTTATATGAGGTTTCTGTTGATGGAACACATAAGCATAGTTGAATAGATGTGGATATGCTTTGGAGAGTATGAATTAACATATAGATTACATATATGAAAAAATCACTTTCAGGAAAGGAGGACACCCTGGCTAAACTTGCCTATCTCTTGAAAGACAGGTAACAGTTTAGTCAGAGTGAGATAAACTGCTATAACAGAACAAAATCTGCAATGTTCAAACATAATAGAAGTTTATTTCTTGTTCATCTATAGACCAGGGTGGATCTTTTAGGTCAGTAGCTTGTCTCTTCCATGTGGTGACTCAGGTCTGAGGCATTTTGCATCCTGTGGCTGCCTCATCACCCAGGGCCTTATTGTCATCTGTATCCCCCCACTACAAGGTGAAAGAGAGAAAATGAAGGGTAGTTGCTTCTTCAAAGCCTCCAAATGAAGGTGGTGTACTTTGTTTCTATTCATACTTAATTGATGAAAACCGGTCACATGGCCACACTTAGCTGTAGGTGCAAGGCGTGGAGCTGAGAAACTGTATCCCTGGTTGGTAGCTGCATTGCAGCTACAACTCAAATTCCTGTGGAAGTCAGGACGCACAGTATGAGGACAACTCCTGTGTCTGCTACAGGCAGCCATTCTCCAGAAGAGGTAAACAAACAGGTTCCACCATTTCAGAGAGACGCAGCATGCATACTAACGTGCTGGGTGTGCTCCTGGGGTCTTGTATCCCTTCTCCTCTGATTCTTCCCTTAGGACGGGCAGTCCATATGTCTAACTCCAAAGTTTTTAGCTGACGAACTAAGTGATAGAAAAACAGCTTTTTAGGAAAATCAAGGTGTTCAGTTCTCCACATGCCAAGTTTGAGAAATTATCTAAGACATTCAAGTAGAAATCCAGCAAGCAGTTGCATATACAGATCTGGAACTCAGAAGGGAGATGTGAACTGGAAATAATATATTTGAGAAGTCAGTAACACCTACATGATAGTAAATCTCCAAGATTAGATAAGGTCACCAGGGAGGGGTTATGGATAGAGAAGAGACCAGAGGACAGAGCCCTGGAGCCCTCCAATGTTTAGAGATTAGGAAAACAAAAAAGAGCAGGCGGTAGATTAATTTTTCCAAAGGCTGCTGAGTGCTCAACTAAGATGAAAGCTGAGAACTGACCACTGTATTTAGCAATGTGAATGTCACTGGTGACCTTGTCAAGTGTGGTATAAGTGGACTGGTGGGTTGCCTGACTGGAGTGGGCTTAGGAAGGAATGGTGGGGAGTGGAGTGGGAGATAGCAAATAGTCAAATAGTCAGTTTTTATGTATTTGCCATGAAATTTTGTATGTGGTTATTATAATCATATACAAAAAGTTTTAGTAATTATATAAATCCTATTAAAAAGTTTTAGTAATTATAACAATAACTTTTTATTCAATGCCTCTTATACTACAGGCGCTTTACTATACACTTAATTCATTTGAAAAAAAACGCATTCTAACAAGATTTAGCTTATAAATGAGGAAACTGATGGTTAAAGAAGTGAAGTAACTTGCCCATGTGCTCCTGTGTGCTAAAGGGTGGAGCTGGAATTTGAATTCAAGTCTGTTTGACTCCTAGCCTTCACTCTTGACTACTGTGCTCCTTTAAATATTACAATGAATAGCCACCCACATGAGATTGATTTTTTCCTGAGATTAAATACTACATTGGAAGAAATAATGCAGAAAGGCTAACAAAGATCTGCCTCCTTATTGGTCAAGGTATTCTTAGTCTCTGGCAGGCATGAGGGTCAGAACTAAACAGCATTGTTCATCACTTCAGCTGTCAGCCAGCTCACAGCAGGTCACTGTCCATGAAGCTCTTTGCAATAAAAAAATGGTTTGATGAACCAGTTTTATCAATGTTGCTAAATTCAAATAACAATTTCTATTGGTAAGAAATTCAGCTCCATCATCCTTAATAAAACAGGAAAATCTAGGTCTGTCTACAAGTCCAGTAAGCCAAGCAGAAGGAAAGGGAATGGATTTGTTTCTGAACTGGTCTTCTATTTGCATGAAAATCCATCCTACTTACCCTTCAGCAGAGAAGGGGTTTTATTAAACTGAGTGGGACAAATCTCATAATAGCCTGCAGGCTCACTCCCCTTCCACACTGTCCATTTAATTTTGACTGGTATTTTAATTTACCCTCAGAATCAGCTATTGAGCTCTCCAACACCCTGGCTTCAGTTCAGTGCATAAGACAAAGGTAATATCCAACAGAATCGTGATAGAACTTCACATTGTCATATGGTCATCAGGATAAACATACGAGTAAGAGAAAGCTCTGTTCTGAAAGCATGAGTCGTATAATTCCATTACAGCTTGGTCCAGTACTTACGAAAGAAAAGTACTAAACTATGAAATAAGCTTCCGTTAAGAACTGCTGAAGAAAATTACAACTGCTGGTTTTCTATTGTGTGTGTGTGACATGATGAAAACAACAACAACAACAACAACAACAAAAAAAAAACACTGCAGTTTAGTATGATAATTGAGTATTAAGACAAGAAAACCAGAAAAGCTAATGTAATAGTTTTGTAATCTTACAAATTATGTAATGTCTGCAAAATCATTTTGGGAGTTCAGAAGGATTTACAAACATGAGCCAGTGTTACCAGGTAAACAAATTCAAGGGATATTATAGATATATAATAAGATCTATTGACCATACACTTACTTACGATTTTATGGAAATAAAAATCTATAGTAAAAATAGTTGCATTTGTATAGCATTTCTCATTCTTTTAAAAAAGTTATATATATATAAGAAAAAAATTCAAATACTGTAATAGTTCCAGCTGTGCAAAGTATTCTTGACACATAGACCCTCAATTATTATCCTCAGAGGCACCCAGAGATTCTAGTTTCTAATATATACATATGTTTTATGAATTTGATATCAATATATCTGTTCACATTTTTACCTATATCTTTAGAATAAAAATAATTGAGTATCACCTGATAGTTTTCCTTTATACTTTCACATTATGTGGATTTTTGATATAGCAATTACACCTCATTCTGAAAAATAAATATCAATTTTTTTCTCTAAAGTAATTTAAACAATAAATACTTAAGCTTTCATCTTTAACAACTCACCTGTACAATTTACCAAAACAATATGCCTGACATTACTAGAGATCAGAACTTTAAGTCAGTATTCAGTCAGACAAATCCTTAAATGTTTGCAGCTCAATTTTCTTCTAATCAAAACGTGGTGAGAAATTGGTACCGATTAACACTGGGCCTTTGATAGATCTTGATTTTCTAGTTTCATCGAACAGAAGCTGTGTTTGATTCCAAAGCTTGCCTTTGATTCCAAAGTCTTTCTTCTTTATGTAGTACCTAAATATTTTATGAACCCAAAGAACATTTCAATACAAAACTGAAATACACAAGATGGGGAAGGAGAAGAAAAAGCAGTCCCTTTAGTCCTTGAATACGACGTTTCAACATGAGGCACAGAAATACATTGCATTATAGTTTTACCTTTCATTTCTTCACTGGTTGCTATTAATATGTTGCTCCAACTTACCTGGATACTTAGCACATGCAGATCTGGGTAGGATGTTTACCACACTTCTTTGCCAGATTCAAGTTCTTTCTTCTGGCTAATAGGCAATATCAGCAGCCTTCGACAACACTGTTTCTTCTTTCACAGTACTCTGGTAGCTTTTGAAGTCTTTGGACACAAAATTAAATCTGTTAGAGTTAGAGAAGGGAGAGGCATCCTGAAAAATAAGGTTTTGCCATATTTATGTTTTCAATTTTATAATTTATTATGAGAAAAGGCAAAATGCAACCATTACGATTGGTTAAAATAACAGATTACATTTAAGTATAGTTGAGGTACTTCAGGAAAATGTGCACAGAGCCCTCTGACATAGGACTTCCTTTGAATCCAGTGTCCCCACCATCCCCCTCTTCCTAAAACAATATGCTCACTGACACTTGTTTCCAAAATGGCTATTAAAAAATAGTTTCTCCTTTCAAATTTTTTACCATCTAGGTATACAGTGAAAATTCAACCGTCAATGTACATGATAAATATACACAGTAATTCAGTGAGAAAAAAATTTCCCAAAATATACAAATAGGTTGTTCAGAGGCACACAGATGAAACAACAGACTAACTGAATTTTTTTTTCCTTTTACTTTATTGTTTTTGGTCATGGAAAGACATAGGCAAAGCTTGGCTGAATATCAATCATTCATTCTCTATAGATACACTTAACAATTCATTCTGCACAAATTATTCTAGAATAAAAAAGTTTAAATTGGCATTAGAAATATTACTACTAGTGATAGCATTTTAACAAAAGAAAAGGATTTCTGGGATTCTGTAAAACTATATGGATAAAAGGACAACTACAAGATATATAAGATATAGGATAAAAAGAAGATCACGGATTAAAACAAACTAAAACAAGAATGAAAATGATTATAAATCAAAAGAGAAATTACAAATGAAAGAGACTCATTATAAATGAAAAAGGACCTGAATTATGCCTGAATATCTAGTTCTTGGTGGTCATATAAATAAAATCTCACACTTAAATGTGCTAATGAACTAAATAACTAATTGGCTTCTGCTGGTTCTGAACCAGAGGTGTACAGTGGTTGGAGAAAAGCTTGTCAGCACCGTTTCCTTTCTTTCACAGAGTACAGCTCATTGTTTTTCACTTCCAAAGGAGAAAAAAATCATCAGATTTGTGAGGGTTTTTTTTCCTCGTCACCTCATCCCTAGACCCAGTTTCAGCTTTAATCCTTATCCCTTCAAGGAATAAAAGCATTTCCATTTATTTCAAAGTATTGTATTGGTGCTGATAAAAGTAGGGCCAAAATTTTGAAAAGAGATTAACTATGCTGAGAAATGTCCATTGTAAGTACTGCAAGAACACTGAACCAACAGCCAGTGTATACTGACGTTGTTTGCTGCTGTTTATAGGAAATTACATAAGCACAGTACTGGAACAGAAGGAAATAGCTTATATGGGTCATAGCTTTGTGGATAAAGGAAAATCGTTCTACATAAAATAAATTAAGGACTTTCCAAACAAAGTAAAGGTTAAGACATACAAATATATATGTTACGTTTCACAAACACATACAAACCAAGTAAATAAAAAGAACTCCTAAAACCTAATTAGAAAATAACATAAAACCAGACTGCACCAATTACAGTGCACTATTACAGTGCACTATTCCTCTAAAACGGAGATCCATATGCTACATCTGTGACACCAAAGACAATTGTTCTAAGGATCTACCACTTTAAAAAATAAAAATAATTTTTAAAATAATTACATCAGCATATGGACTCTGGAAAATTTCTTGTACTGTGATAAGATCAGATGGACATTTCCTGTTTCACATTTCTAGTACACGTTGTCTTTTAGACAATAATAGTGTGAAACAATAGTTTGGCATGAGTTCAATGCATAGTAAGAAATGCCTGGCTTGCATAGGCTAGCCGGTTTTCCCAACACCATTTATTAAATAGGGAATCCTTTCCCCACTGCTTGTTTTTGCCAAGTTTGTCAAAGATCAAATGGTTGTAGATGTGTGCTGTTATTTCTGAGGCCCCTGTTCTGTTTTATTGGTCTATATCTCTGTTTTGGTACCAGTACCACTGCTGTTTGGTTACTGAAGCCTTGTAGTATAGTTTGAAGTCATGTGGCATGATTGCTCCGGGTTTGTTCTTTTTGCTTAGGATTATCTTGGCTATATGGGCTCTTTTTTGGTTCCATATGAAATTTAAAGTAGTTTTTGCTAATTCTATGAAGAAAGTCAATGGTAGCTTGATGGGCATAGCACTGGAGCTATAAATTACTTTGAGTGGTATGACCATTTTCACAATATTGATTCTTCCTATCCATGAGCATGGAATGTTTTTCCATCTGTTTGTGTCCTCTCTTATAACCTTGAGCAGTGGTTTGTAGTTCTCCTTGAAGAGGTCCTTCACATCCCTTGTAAGCTGTATTCCTAGGTATTTTCTTTTTTTGGAGCAATTGTGAATGGGAATTCACTTATAATTTGGCTCCCTGTTTGTCTATCATTGGTGTCTAGAAACGCTTGTGATTTTTCCACATTGATTTGTATCCTGAGACTTGGCTGAAGTTGCTTATCAGCTTAATGAGATTTTGGGCTGAGACGATGGGGTTTTCTAAATATACAATCATGTCATCTGCAAACAGAGACAATTTGACTTCCTCTCTTCCTATTTGAATACCCTGTATTTCTTTCTCTTGCCTGATTGCCCTGGCCAGAACTTCCACTACTACATTAAATAGGAGTGATAAGTGAGGGCATCCTTGTCTTGTGCCGGTTTTCAAAAGGAATGCTTCTGGCTTTTGCCCATTCGGTATGATATTGTCTGTGGGTTTGTCATAAATAGCTCTTATTATTTTGAGATAGGTTCCATCAATACCTAGTTTATTGAGAGTTTTTATCATGAACGGGTGTTGAATTTTATCAAAGGTCTTCTCTGAATCTACTGGAATAATCATGTGGTTTTTGTCTTTGGTTCTGTTTATGCGATGGATTACATTTATTGATTTGCATATGTTGAACCAGCCTTGCATCCCAGAGATGAAGCCAACATGATCATGCTGGATAGGCTTTTTGATGTGCTGCTGGATTCGGTTAGCCAGCATTTTATTGAGGATTTTTGCATTGATGGTCATCAGGGATATTGGCCTGAAATTTTCTTTTTTTTGTCGTTGTGTCTCTGCCAGGTATGAGTATCAGGACGATGCTGGCCCCATAAAATGAGTTGCGGAAGATTCCCTCTTTTTCTATTGTTTGGAATAGTTTCAGAAGGAATGGTACCGACTCCCCTTTGTACCTCTGGTAGAACTTGGCTATGAATCCATCTGGACCTGGGCTTTTTTTGGTTGGTATGCTATTAATTGCTGCCTCAATTTCAGAATTTGTTATAGGTTTATTCAGGGATTTGACTTCTTCCTGAAAACTGGATCCCTCCTTTATACTTTAAACAAAAATTAACTCAAGATGGATTAAATACTTAAATGTAAGACCTAAAACCATAAACACCATAGAAGAAAACCTAGGCAACAGCACTCAGGACATAGGCATGGGCAAAGACTTCATGATTAAAACACCAAAAGCGATGATAGCAAAAGCCAAAACTGACAAATGGGATTTAATTAAACTAAAGAGTTTCTGCAAAGCAAAAGAAACTATCATCAGAATGAAGAGGTAACCTACAGAATGGGAGAAAATGTTTGCAATCTATCCATCTAACAAAGGGCTAATATCCAGAATCTACAAGGAACTTAAACAAATTTACAAGAAACCAAAAGAACCCATCAAAAAGTGGGCAAAGAATATGAACAGACACTTCTCAAAAGAAGACATTTATGCCGCCAACAAACATGAAAAAAGATCATCACTGGTCAATAGAGAAATGGAAATCAAAACCACAATGAGATACCATCTCATGCCAATTAAAATGGTGATTATTAAAAAGTCAGGAAACAACAGATGCTGGAGATTATGTGGAAAAATAGGAATGCTTTTACAGTGTTGGTGGGAGTGTAAATTAGGTCAACCATTGTGGAAGACAGTGTGGCGATTCCTCAAGGATCTAGAAGTAGAAACATCATTTAACCCAGCAATCCCATTACTGGGTACATACCCAAAGGATTATAAATCATTCCACTATAAAGAGACATGCACATGTATGTTTACTGCAGTACTGTTCAGGATAGCAAAGACTTGGAACCAACCCAAATGCCCCATCAATGGTAGACTGGATAAAGAAAATGTGGCATATATACACATGGAATACTATGCAGTCATAAAAAAGGATGAGTTCATATCCTTTGCAAGGACATGGATGAAGCTGGACACCATCATTCTCAGCAAACGAACATAGGAACAGAAAACCAAACACTGTATGTTCTCACTCATAAGTGGGAGTTGAACAATTAGAACACATGGACACAGGGAGGGGAACATCACATACCAGGGCCTGTCAGGAGGTGGTATAGCAGTAGGAGAAATGCTTAATTTACACGACGGAGTGATGGATGCTGCAAACTACCATGGCATGTGTCTACCTATGTAATAAACCTGCATATTCTGCACATGTATCCCAGAACTTAAAGTATAATTCAAGTATAATTCAACAAAACAAAACAACAAAAAAGAAATGCCTGGCTCTTGAAGGCTAGGATGAGCAGGCTTGAATGGCAAAGATCTCAATGACAACAACAAAAAAAAGACAGTGTGTGGGAAGTGGTGGCCCTAAAGAATAAGATTCAAGAAGTGGACATATCTCTGACATTAATCTTTAATGTCTCTTGATCACTGAAAAGCTCTTATGATCAGTATTTACGTTTACACAGATGGCATTTATGCTTGTATCTGAATAGCTCGGTATTTTGGCTTGTTGGTTTGCAAAGCAAATTGTGATATGGAAAAATAATGGGCCGGGCGCGGTGGCTCAAGCCTGTAATCCCAGCACTTTGGGAGGCCGAGGTGGGTGGATCACGAGGTCGAGAGATCGAGACCAACCTGGTCAACATGGTGAAACCCTGTCTCTACTAAAAATACAAAAAAAAATTAGCTGGGCATGGTGGTGCGTGCCTATAATCCCAGCCACTCAGGAGGCTGAGGCAGGAGAATTGCCTGAACCCAGGAGGCGGAGGTTGCGGT